TGGCCGTGGGCAGCCCCAGGGCTCCCTCCCGGGTGGCCGAGCCCTCTGGCAGCGCTGCGGCGCCCGCCCGTCTCCATTGCACCGGCGAGCTGGGGAGGAGAAATTGGGCAGGTGGCATTAGAGGACAGGGATGGCAGGGTCACCACCCTGTAAACCATCCCATCAGATAAATCCCCTGATTTACGGGGGGTGGAGAAGAGGGTGCACAGGGAACAGACCTACCCGGCGCGGGCACTGGCGCATGACAGGGTCACGTCTGTCCCCACCTGTCCGTACTGCACACCTGGAGGGACACACACATCCCCAGATGGGTGTCAGCACCACATGCCACCCCATGCCAGGGCTGGGGGTCGAGGTGGGCAGCCTGGGGCTGTGCCCCCCGACCTGCGTAGCAGGGTGCTGGCTCTGGGTTGTTGTTCCATGCAAGTGCCACTAAGGGGGACTGGTTCCAGTTGGGGCTGGGCAATGAGCAGCTGCAAGTGTTGCTAGCCAGAGGACACTTACCACCATGGGGCTGTGTTTGCATGCCCTGACTATGGAAGGTCTGTGCAAATGGGGTGACCCTAGGGTCTCCATGTTTGCAACACAGGAGGGCTGTGTGGGGCCGTGGGTGCTCGTGAGGCTACTTACCTTCCTCTCCCCAGCCCTCGGAGATGGTGAAGGAGGCTGATGCCAGGGCTGCTGTGAGTAACACCATCACCCTGCCCAGGCCTGGGATGGGACTGCGCATCTGGAGGAGGCAGAGCGGGGAGAGAGAGAGCGTTGATACGTGTTGGTAGGTGTTGGTAGGGCTAGGACCAAAGTTGGACTCAATGATCTTAAAGGTGTCTTCCAACTAAAACTATTCTATGATTCTATGATTCTATGATTGATTCTATGATTCTGTATTAGCCCCTGCAATGGGATGGTCAGCAGAGTCCACAGCCCAGAGCATCCCTGCAGGACCACTGACCCCACACCTTTCTCTCATCTCACCCCATCCTGCTGAGGACAGCACAGGGACCATACCACCAGGACCATGGCCAGGACAGCTGGCACGACAGTGTCACTGTCACAGCTGGGCCTTGGCTACTGAGGAGATCCCACGCCTGAAGCGGGGACACAAAGAGCAAACACTGACCAGGGGCTTAGGGCTGCGTGGGGTGGCAGGATTAAAGGCTCTTTGCCATTTCATCCCTGTGCCGGGAGCTCTGGCTGGCTCCCAGCCCCAGGGTGGTCCAGAAACCTTCACTGGTGCAGCTGGAGCGAGAAGGGACTGAGGAGAAATTCTGGCCTGCATTTATGTGGCAGGAGACAGCAGTTAGGTCTGAACAGGATCACACAGCCAGCAAGAGGAGGTCTGTGAGAGCCCAGACTGTACCGAGTGGGGCTGAACAGGGGTCCAGCATCACTGCCCATCTCTGCACCTGCTGCAGGGCTGGTCCATGCTGGTCTGTGCCCTCCTGGGATATCTGGGGTCTCCGGACACAGGGGAAATGGTCCTGAAATCTCTTTCTCCCACTCAGAGATCACCAGCGGCTCTGGGGTGAGAAGTGCAGATGGATGCTGAGTCAGGGACGTGCACCCAACTCTTGATGGCTCAACTCCAGCCACAGACCAGGGTCTCCCCACCACAGCACAGTCAGCATCACCCTGTCTGTGTCAGCCAGCATCACCCTGTCCATCTCAGCCAGCATCGCTGCCAGGTGTCCATTCCAGCCTACATTGTTCTGCACATACCAGACAGCATCACCCTGGGTAACCCAGTCAGCATTGCCCTGTCCTACTCAGCCGGCATCACCCTGCCCATATCAGCCAGCATTGCCCTGCAGTATCAATCCCAGCCTGCATCATCCTCTACATGTCATCTAGCATCTTTCTTGTCTGTGCCAGCCAGCATCACCCTGTCTCTCCCAGCCAACACAACCCTAAGGCACCTGTTCCAGCCTGCACAGTCCTGCACATATCAGCCAGTGTCACCTTGTTCATCTCAGACAGTATCACCTCTGGACACCTGTCCTGGCCAGCATCATGCCATCCACATCAACAGCATCACACTGTCTCCACCAGCCTGCCCCAACTGCCCCCAGCAAGCACAGACAGCTGAATCATTTCTATCTGGAAGACCTCCCTGCCCATCCCTCATGAACGGCAGGCTGTTTATTTACACCAATATGGTCAGGCTCTGCTCTCGGCTGCAGGTGGGCAGGGGCTGAGGGCATGGGAGGCAGTAAGCTCCCTGCCAGCCCCAAGCACAGGATGCAGCTCGTGGGTGTAAATCCACGTTCCCTTGAGTCCCCTGGGTAAAGCAGCCAAGGAGCTCAAGGGAGGGATGCTCCAGCCCTGTAAGGGCACTCCAGAGCAGCTGCTGGCTCCTCTCCCATGTGCAGGTGCCCAAGGCCACAGACCAAACTGTCTGGTGAAGGGGGAGCTACAGGGTGACGTGCTGCAACCCAGTAAGTGCAGGGGGGCAGGCATGTGGCATCCCACATCAATCCTGTCCTGAACAGGGCAGACAGCTTCAAATGTAAATAATTTCCTGAGGCTCATAAGCTTTTCGTACCAAACCACCCATAGAAATGTTCCCAAGAAACATCACTTAAAAGGTCTCTGCCAAAACTATGCTGGTAACTAACCGGGAACATTTGGGCTGAAAGTAAAATATTTTGGTGATGGAAAAAAAAAGAAAAGACTTAAAATACACTTAAAAGCAGCAACCAAAAATAACTCCAAACACCATGTGGGCCAGAGTTAAGGGAATGGTGCTGGGGGGGTGGTGAGGTGAGAAGAAGGAAGAGTGTGATAGTGTGGAGAGAGAGAAATAGTTTTAAAATAAAATAATTTCTTCTCCCGACTGCCCTGGGTTTTTGTCCAAGTTTTGCAGAGGGTGAAGGCAGAGCTGCTGCACCCATCGCCCGCCGTGCCACTCTGTGGCAAGGCAATATGCTCTGGGCACTGGCTCACTGTTGACATGAATTTGCTAGGTCTCAGGGCTGCTGAATGGTTCAAAGCCAGTCTGGCAAAATGACCCTGCAGTCGCAATGCTGAGCCAGGGGCTCAGAGAAGAGCTGGGGGCATGGCATGATTTGCAGCCAACTGCTGCTAACGTCCCTGGGGAATGGCATAAGCCCTGTCTGGCCATCCTGACTGCAGACAGTATTGCCAATGGACGCAGAGGGACCCCAGACCCCTGCATGGTGGCAGAGGGCATCCCTGCAGACCCCATCCCCAGCTGCATCCCAGCCCCTGATCTCCATGGTAACCGCAAGACTCACCCCGAGGGCTACCCTGCATCCTCCCGCTCTTCAGCACCCTCTGTCCCAGGTCCCCATGAGCTGGGACATGAGGATGAGGATGCTCCTTGTCCTCTCCGAAGCACTCCTGTGAGCTTCCCTGCCTCAGATGGGCTCTTTTGGCCAGCTGCCCAGCCCTGCCAGCATAGCACGGGGGGAAGACAACACCAAGGCCCCCCAGACACACACACTGGCTTAGTAAATGACCCAGCCTGAGCATTGCCAAAACCTAGCCATGACCGAGCATCACCACAGAGAGAAGAAACCAGGCAATCCTCGCCTGCCCCAAGGCCACAAACAAAAGGAGAAGGAGCCGCAGAGCTGGGGAAGACCCGGAACCCTCGCCCGCCCTGGGTGCGATGGCGTGGCAGGGTGCCAGGCACTCCGGGACAGGCGGTGGTGCAAAGCAGCCTGCCCAGAAATAAATTCCCTTACTTTCTGCAACAAAATTCCCTCTCTGATGGGGAAAACAGGCATGCAAATGAACACATACACATGCATGTCACCAGTCCACCCTCCCTAGTGGCTCTGTGCCCTACAGACAGGCACACAAGCATGGAAAGCATCCCTCTATGCTTGCACCGGCAGTGACACATCCCAGGGACAGGGAGTGCTGGCACAGTGGTCCTGGAGCCAAGCTGGGACAGAAGGAACAATCGGAGCTTTTCTTCCTCCCTGTATTTTAATCCCAGCCCGAGAGGCGTCTGCTGCCTGCCCGGCACTGGGTGACCTCTCGTGGCCACAGTCGGGCCAGGGGGACAAAAAAAGTGGCTTGGCCACGGCAGAGAGGGCAGCAGTGCCAGACTCTACTCCCTCAACATGGGTCGTTTTTGTCACCAGCACACCCAGGGTGACCCAGCTGTGCATGGTACCCGTGGTCATGAGACAGAAACGCAAGATGCCACTCTCCATCCTGCACCATTGGCCCTGCTGTCCTACTTGGCATCCTTTGAGCCCACCACAAATTTTGGGGGGGGGAAAGTTGCGGGGAGAAATCCTGCCATGAGCCCCATCCTGCATCCAAACCGAAACGCTGTGAGCCAAAACATACTCCAGAATCACAGCCGTGTGCACCAGCACTGATGCTCACATAGGGTGTGACATTCCCCCTCGGCACAGCTTCTCTGTGCCATGCCCCGCCGCAGCCTTGCAAAGCCCGGTGTAGATTCCTGGGGCTGGCCAACTTTCCATTGCACTCAGTGCTTTCAAAGACAGTGGGTTTTGTTCTGGGGTTTGGTGTTTTTTTTTTTGCTTTGCTTCATTTGAAGTTGCTCTTCAAAGCGAATGAGCTGCACGCAGAGCTGGGGGTGGCAGGGAGGGTACATAAGCAGATGAAGCCGTGCCTCAGGGCTGAAGATGGCAGTGGGGAGACATGGGATGCTCCCCACTGAGCCAGGGGGTGCCTCCTAACTTCTCCTCAGGGTGGCCTGGGTCACCATCACTGCAATAACGAGGCGGCAAATACAACATCCCAAGAGCACTTGGCAGCTGCGCCTGTCGCGTGCTGGGTCCTGCCCGAGTCACCCATGTGCAAAAAGCTGCTCTGCAGTGGGTGATGCCTGACCCCAGCTGGCTCTGATACTCTAGAAATGGCATCACACTGACCTCCTGCCCCTGAGCTGAGCGAGCATCCTTGGCCCTGCTCAGCAGACTCTCCCCTCTGCCAGTGCCCGCTGTGGGAAACTCATCCCGTGGCCAAGGGTGGGGGCGTTTCAAAGCAGCAAGAATTCCCCTCTTCTTGCTGTCCTGTGGGGCTGGGAGCACAACTCCCCACTAACCTTCCCTCCATCACATCCTCTCACCCTTGCATCAACCTGCACCTTTGGGCCGGGGGTGGGAGCATTGACCCTGTTGCTGGGACCATCCCCTGCAAACAGCCACCTCTGTTCCCTAACTGCTGCTGGCACCCTCCCAGCTGCTGGATGCCTAGAGAAAGCCCAGCAATGGGTGCTGGCAGAAGGGGAAGCATGTCTCCCACCACCTCTGGGACTACTGGGGCCAAGCACAGTCCCCAGGACCACTGGGATCATTCAGGGGCAACTTCTCACCCACCTTGGGCACTGCCAGGTGACGCGCCCCAAGGCAAAGGAGAGACCCCTACTCACTCCCTCCAGCCCCTCTGGTCCCCTCAAGGACCTCAAAAAAGGCTGCTTTCCCTTGCTTCAGTGGGGTGCTGAGCATTCATTGGCCCCCACGCCCACTGGAGGGGGGTGCACATCGCCAGGCTGAGCTGAGCCAGCACACACACATGCACAGCTGCAGCCAGTGCAACCCCAGCACACTGGAATTACCCCAGTTAAACGAGTAAAACTAGTTGCAGACTTTCCCTGTGAGGCCAGTGCAGTTCAGTAAGCCTCGTGTGCAGCCTGAACACGGGGTTAAACCCTGTACAGTCCCTTAACTCAGCCCAAACATGGGATTATAACCCACACAGGATCAAATCCCACTCTTCCCAGGA